TTTTTCGTCTTCATCAATTTTAGGTTTATTTTTGGATGTTTTCTTTAACTTTTCTTTATATTCTTGATTTTGGCGAGAAACAGATGATTCAGCCCCATCATTTAATATTTTAGCTAAATTATCTAAGGCTTTTGGCGAATCATTCTGTGGAAGAACAAAAGAAGTTCCTTCATTAATTTCCGGTTGAATATTTCTTAATTTTGAAATTTCATTTTTTAAATCTTCCTTCTCATTTTTCTTTTTTTCTCGATATTTTCGAATATATTCTCTCTTCTTTTCTTTATTATTTTGGTGGTATAATCTGCTATATTCTAGTTTCTTTTCTTTATTCTTATAGTAGTAGTTCCGATCATATTCTTTTTTACGTGGTTTAAAATTGGTAGAATTTCTCCTTTCTTTTAGTTTTTCTTTATTATTTTGTCCATAATTTTGGTTATCTTCTTTTTTCTTTATCTTTTTTTCTGCCAACTTATTGTCATTCGTGTACATTTTAGTAATTTTTGGTTTTAATATGTCTTTATAATTTTGATTCTGAGGAGCAACCGATGATTCAACCCCATTATTTAATATTTCATTTAAATCTGTTGAGGTTTCCTCAACTCTATTCAATTCGTTTTGATTTTTATTATTTTTAACAGAATTAATTAAACTCCATAATGTCGAATTGAAAATTAAAAAGAATAAAACATTAATAAATTTCATTTTAAATTAATTAAAAAAATTTATTTAAAATTTAATTGTATTTATAATTTTGTTAAACTAATATAATAATAGAATTTCTTATATTATGTAATTATTTAAAAAATAATTTTGAAATTCTTTTTTCGCGTTTTCATTCGCATGATGCACTGAGAATTTTATCTAATGCCGCAAAGGGTATTTTATTTATTACATACCCTTTGTCAGACAAATTAAGAAATATTCAAGCACTTTAAAAATATGATTTGACAAACAAATAAATAATTCAATGAAAGTAAAGTGCATCAATAATAAATATTTCTTAAGAAATTAAAGAAATAAAGAGTTAAATTAAATTATTTTTATTGTCTTGAAATCTATATTTCAAATTTATTTTTGTATTCTTAATTGTAGGGTTTGACCCCGAACGCTCGGGGGCGGGTATCTCGGGGAACGGGGTTTTCACTTTTTTCGGGCGGGGTTCGGATCGGGGAGAATCGTGAAAAAAATCGTTCGGGAACAGGTCACTCTACTTAATTGTCACAGTTTATTGTCCCAATTTAATAAAGCTACCTGATCAATTCTCTAAAACTAACATCCAAATCTAATTTAGCTGGGTTCTGTACAGCATAAATACCGCCAGGATGGTGATGACTGAGAGAATTTGGAATAGCCGCCTCCCTCGTAAATCTTTGGGAGTGATTAGAAGAGTGTTCTTGGAGGGGGATTGAATGGAAAAATAGGCTATTTAAAGCTTTTGCCATAAGCAAAAAAGGGGATTTTGGGAGAAATGAAAACGAGAAAAGAAGAAAAGGCTTTAAAGTTATGCCAAACAGGGTGTGGAACAAAACGTCTCGTTTGGAGAAAGAAACTCCCAAATAATTTGAAAATGATGAGAGAGCTCTTAGCTGCTAATTTAATTTGTTGGGGTATGTTTTTGGAAATGCATAACATTGATTCCCCATGGGAAACTGAGAAAAGAGTGAGAAAAAAAGAGAAAAGAGGTGTTTGGAATAAAACTTTAAAATAGAAAATTTGAAATGAAAAAAAAATAATTTTAAAAAATTTGAAGATATTAAAAAATATATTAGAATTTAATATTTGAATATAACTTGAAATATACACAATATTAAATTTATAAAATTTTTGCAAATTTATTATTAAGAAATAAGAGTAAACGCGCAAACGTCGGGATAGGCGCATTGCGATATTTGCGTTACATTTTGGCTTTGCGTTATTTGAAATTGTCTCTTGTGCCAGCCCCTGGTTGGCACAAATTAACTATCTATAGAAATTTCAATGAAACAACAAGCTTTACTGAAAATCGTATGAGCAATATTCATGTTTCTGACTTATCTAAAAATGTCGGGAGGCAAGTCTTGTAGTCAAGACAAGTTCTCGCCTCAAAATCAAAAACAGTATCTATCGAAATGCACTTTTAGATATAATTTATAAACATCAGACTGTCAAATTGCCCTTAGAAATTTCGTAACAACAAAAATATTAGACAAACAAAAATAAAAAATTTTCGCAATGCACTTTTCTTATAATATGAAAAAATATTAAATAAAAGTTATAAATTATTTCATTAATATATATTAATTCAATTTTAAAAATTAATTTAGAATGAAATTTCTTAATGTTTTAATCTTTTTAATTTTCAATACGATATTATGGAGTTTAATTAATTCTGTTAAAAATAATAAAAATCAAAACGAGTTAACAATAGTTGAGGAAACCTCAACAGATTTAAATAAAATAAATGATGAGCCTGAATCATCGGTTAATCCTCAAATTCAAAAATATCAAGCAACGTTGAAACCAAAACCTAAAGTTACAAAAATGGAACCTACTAGAAATGACGAAGAAAAATTGAAGAGACAAAAATATGATAGAGAATACTACCAGGAGAATAAAGCGAGATTATCAGAAGATAGGAGAGGCTATTATCAAAAGAATAAGGAAAAATGTCGTAAACTTGTGAAAAAATATCAACAAAATAATAAAGAAAAAATAAGAAAATATACTCAAAAATATTATCAGCTTAATATCGAAAGGATGCGAGAAACTTCAAGAAACAACTATTTAAGAAAGAAAAAGGAAAAACAAATGCAACAAATTAACAGTTCAAAAGTCCTAAACATTCAATCTGTTAATAATGAAGGAACTTCATTAAGTAATCCACAGAATAATGCTACTGAAAATAAAGGAAAAGAGCTGACAGTTTCCAAAGAGAACGTTCAATTATCTCAAAGAATTATTCACCCACAAAAAGATAAACTTTCCCAATCAACTCTTAATGAGGAGGAAATTTCAGTTGTTAATTTACAGACTAATGATAATACTGATAATTTAGATGACACAATTTATAACACTTATGGCAAACAAGAAAAATTACAAATGGAAGCGAATTCTATTCAAAAAGAGGATATGGAAAATTTGCCTGATTTGAGATTTTTGGAAGCTTCAAATTTTTGGGACGATCCGAATTTCTGATGATAACGGAGTTTTAAAATAACACATATAAAAGAAGCTATTATATATTGCTAACATAAAATATTTCTTTTATTTCTTATTAAATTATTTTAGCCTTTACTTGTTTTATTTAAAAATAAATAGAAAATTTTGTCTTTATAACGGGAAACGGAGACATTCCACCAGGGGTGGGCGCATTTCTTTTTGCGTGTTGCGTTATTTTTGACGAAATTAACACAAAAATACTAGAGTTTCACCGGAAGTTCCGGTTGCGGAAATTTCCGGATTTTTTTGGTCCCGGTTCCGGGAACCGGAACTCAAATGGGATCCGGTTCAGGCTCCGTTTTAGAAATCGGTTCCGGGCAAACCGGAACTTTTTTACACACCTAAGGCTTATTTTTTTTTAAATATGGGTTGGCCTTTCAATATTTATATATGGGGCTATATGGGGATTTGGCCTTGCAAAACTTGGCATTTCTCACTTGGCCTTTCTAAATTCAGAGAATTTTTGCCTGCGGCGCTAAAAAGGATGGAAGAATAGGGTATTATTTAGAATTTGTATGGATTAATGGGAGTTCTAAAAATTGTGTGTTCACACTTGACCTTAAGAAATTCTCAAAATTTAAGCTAGCGGCGCAAAAAGAGGGATAGATCACCTTTCGACTATTTACCTAATCCGAAGTATTCCAATTAATCTCCCAAATTTCACAGATTTTGCTCTTAATACAACCAAATCTCGCTATAATCAGCCAATACCTCTTAATCCCTTGATATCCTACTGGGTACTAGACTTATCTAGTTAAGAGAGCAAAATTAAATTTAAAATTAAATTTCTAGACAATAACAATAATTTAACTCCTTATTTCTTTAATTATCTTAGGAAATATTTATTATTGATGTACTTTCCTTTCAATGATTATTTTTTTGTTTATCAAATCATACACATTTTTAAAAGTGTAATATTTCATAACTTGTCTGACAATAGGCAATAAATAAAATACTCTATGCGGCATTAAATAAAATTCTCATTGCGTCATGCGACGGAAAACGAGAAAAAAGCAATTTCAAAATTATTTTTTAAATACATTGTATAAGAAAGTCTATTTTTATGTTGGTTAAACAAAATTATAAATACAATTAAATTTTAAATAAATTTTAAAATTAATTTTGAATGAAATTTGGACCCTATCCCGAAAGAAGGGTCGAATCGTTTTTTTTCATTACTTTTTATTAGTTTATAAAAATGGTCAATTTTCCTTAAAATTGATGTATGTTGATGTTTGCCTTAAGGAAAAATGGTGACAGAGGTTAACTTTTTATATTTTTTCCTTGTTTTGTTTGTCGGACTGACTCGGAGACACAAAACACGGACGGACCCGGACAGACAAAAAACAGACGAACACGGACGGACCCGGACAGACAAACACAGACGAACACGGACGGACCCGGACAGACAAAACACAGACGAACACGGACGGAACCGGACAGACAAAATAAGGATGGACACGAACTGTCAGACATGTGTCAGTCTGTGTTTGGTCCGTCCTTGTTTTTCTGTCTGTGTTCTTCTGTCATTGTCTGTCCTTCTCCATTTTTCCTTAAGGCAAACATCAACATACATCAATTTCAAGGAAAATTGACCATTTTTATAAACTAATAAAAAGTAATGAAAAAAACGATTCAACCCTTCTTTCGGGATAGGGCCGAAATTTGCTAGTGTTTTAATCTTTCTAATTTTCAATTCGATATTATGGAGTTTAATTAATTCTGTTAAAAATAATAAAAATCAAAGCGAATTAACTAAAATTCAGGAAACCTCAACAGATTTAAATGAAATATTAAATGATGGGGCTGGATTATCAGTTGCTCCCCAAATTGAAAAATATAGAGAAACTCTTAAACCAACTACCAAAATTACAAAAAAGCACAAAACTGAAAATAATGATGAAGAAAAAAGGTTAAAGAAGAAAGAATATTTGAAGGATTACTACCAGCGACACAAAAAGGAGAAACAAGATTATAATCGAAATTATCAACTAACGAACAAAGATAAAATAAAAGAAGTGAGGAATTTTCCAAAACAAAAAGAGAAAAGTCGGAAATATGATCGAAATTATCAACAAAAAAATAAAGAAAAGTTAAGAGAATATAAAAGAAAATATCATTTAAAAAGAAAAAACGAAAAAGAAAATCCACAGAATAATAATTATTTAAATAAAGGCAAATCGCCAATTGAATGTAACGGGAGTGCTCAGGTAAATAATAAGGAAGGAAATGATAATACTGAAGGAAATCCACAAATGGATGAGGGTGTACCAATAAATAACTTACAAAACTTCGTTCATGAAAATGTTCAATTAGATGATGGACATCAAAAAGTGGATGATCTGGATGATTTGGTTGATTTGAGTTTTTTGAACGACCCTAATTTTTGGGATTATTTGAATTCTTAAAAATGTAGTTGACTTTTCAACAATTGATTATAAGATTTTAATGAATGGAAACATAAAAATATATGCCTATTTGTTTCAGTCTACCTATATTTACATATTTTTCCTTATTAATTTATTCAGTTAAAACTAATTTTACAATTTATTAATTTACAATTATATAATTGTAAATCGACAATTGATTGTTAAGAGAATGATCAGTTAAATAATAAGGAAGGAAGTGATAATACTGAAGGAACTTCAATTGTTAGTCCACAGATAGATGAGGGTGTACTAAATAATTTAAACTACCCAGAACAAGAAAATGTTCAATTAGACGATGGACATTCAATTCCACAAATGGGCGAAATGAATGATTTAGACTATATTAAATTTTTGAATGATCTAAATTTTTGGACAATCAGAATTTCTTATTTTGAGATGAAATTTTCAGATACCAAATTTAATAACTTTTATTGACACTAATAGAAAAATAAACTTCGGCACCATATTTAATAAAATAAAATCTCTTTTCCCTACTAATTATTTTAATGAGTTTGGTTCACATTTTTTACGAACCCACTATCCCCCAATTATTATTTATCCATATTTTATTACAATTTTGAAAAAAATTTTTGTAAATTCATTTTGCCAACTTTTTAAATTTTTTAAAAAAATATTTAGAAATTTTAGAAATTATTTAGAAAAATTAAAAATTTTTTAAAAAATTAATTTAATAATTAAATAATTATTCCCCCTCCCTTCTTACCCATTTTTCATGCTCCTTTCCAAATCTGATAGGCTCAGGATCAGCACACTCATCGATGTTTAAACATTAATATTAAAATAATTTTTTGAAAAGAAGAAAAGTCAAAAATAGTAAAATTTAGTTTAATTTTTGTTGAGAAGGCAATAATTAATAAATTTGAATCAAAAATATATAAAATAAATTGAATTTAAAATTTGAAATTTAAAACGGGAAAGAGAAATTGTGAACTCTAAATTAAACAATTTATTAATGAAGTTGAAATTAGATATAAAGAGACCGGACCGAAACGATATCTCGATCGAAAATCTCGGATATCGAGATCTCAATTCTCTTAATAAAAATTTTTGAGATTTATGGAGAATCGTGAGATCTCGATTTTCGTACGACAAACCCAGTCTTGTCTCTAGATAAGAAGTGTAATAGACAAATTAATACAATAATTATTTTGGAAATTCCAATAGGTTAATGGCTGTCAATTTGAACTTAATTGTGTCAGTATTGTATATCAACTAATTTCTTAACCAAATACTTATAGCCCTTCCCTATAAGTCCACCTCATGTGTAGAAGTAACAACTACGCATACCGTATTATCTCTAATAGAATGACCACCTGGAGGATGATTGAAAAATAGAATGGCCGGCATTCTATTAGAGATAATACGGTATATCACAACTTTAGATTATAATATAGGATTGTGGATTATAATATAGGATTGGATTATAATATAGGAATTGGAATTCAAAGATTAAATTTGTTTTCTGACAAAAGAGAATTTATTATTGGAGAATCTACTTAGAAAAAATTATTATTAGCAATAATAAAGCCAAGAAATCAAGCGGATAAAAATAAAAATATTATGACCAGCGATTAGTATCTCATCGATCATAACCCTAAGCTAACAATCAATCAAAATATTTTTGGTAAAACATGTTTTAATAATTTAAGAGGACAAAAAATAAATTATTTTGTTTAAAATATAGTTTAAAATTGTTGTAAAAAGATTGAAAAAAATTTTTTTTTATGAAAAGTTTTATTTTTAAATACATGGCATGTAAAATAAAATATCATCAATTTTGATATTTTCCAATATTTCTAGACATAATTTGAGTCTATCTGTTAATAGACTAAAATAGGTAATTTAGAAAAATATTAGAAAATGTCAAAATAGCTTTTGTTAAATGTGATTTATTACCATGTACATAATTATTAAAATTAAATCTTCATGAGATAAAAAAAATTTTTTGCATAATTTTAAATGGATTTTTGAAGTAAATTACCAAAAGTTCTGACACATATATCTGTACATAAAGTTTTAGGTTAGAAAATGTATAGATAGATTTTTAGCTCAAAAAGTATGATTGATAAAATACAAAACGCAAGGTTCTTGAACGAATAAACCTTATCCTACAAAATTTAAAAAAATAGCTTCTTCTAAAATAATTTATTCTCGTATTGGAAAATATATCCAATTTTATAAAAAAAATTTTTTCTACATATTATATAGAATTGAAAATGGTTTTGGTTTTTTCCTCAGAAAAAAAACCCGAGGATTGCGCGCTTATGGATTCCATTTATTCGTCCATTTGCTTAATCGAAAGTTGGGGGTAGCTGGTGCTTTCAATTAAAGCTCTAGCAGCGTGGGAAAGCTTTGGACAGAATATTTAATGTGTGAAAAAGGGGTGACAAATATTATTAATACAGAAACGGCTGCCGAGTATTTTCCTCAAATATTTCCCTTCTCGACAAATTTTTATAAAACCTGGCCATCGATTGACGGGCTTTAATCCTCCGGGGATTGTTTTTGAGGTAATAATTATTTAAATATTAGAGGATGTCTTTTGTTTAAGAGGGAGGTCATTTGGAGTGAAGGACCGGTTGAATGCTAATTTGTATAACTCGTCTGGAAAAAATATTTTAAAAAATATTTTTGTATCATTCGATAGAGAATTAAATTTACTACGAAATAATATCTAAATGAGAATTTTAAATTAATTCTGAAAAAAGTTCTGATAAAAAAACTAAGTAGATTGTAACGGAAAATGAGGAAAATTTGACAGAAAATGAGGTTCTCTGGCCTTACCATATTTTTATTTTTAACAAAAATTATCAAAAGTTTAGAAGCGAGTCTCCTCTATAAAATGATACCAAAATCATCCCAAAATCTTCATCCATTCTCGAGTTATAAAATTTAGAAACACCCTTGTCTGCGATATGTTTTTTTCATTTTTTCATATATTTTTGCCTATTTAACTCATTTTTGGATGTCTCCAGGTATTCATTTCTATCTCCATGGGAATAATTTTTTTATTATTTTACTTGAAACCTTTTTCTCCTCTTCTTTCAACAAAAAATGCAAATTGTTGGGTGAACAAAAATGTCCTTTATGGGCCTAGAACTTTTGCCGAAAAGCAAAAAGGAGAGAATGTTAAAAAATTTTTAAGGCAAGTTTTAAGTATTTTTTACTCCTTTTTTATTAAAAATACAAGGTGCCAATTTCTTAAAGGTTTTTTTTACTTTAAAAAAGAACCCAACAATTTCCATTCCATTTGCGCCACTTAAACATAATAAATAATATCTGAGACTATTTGAAAATTTTTTCTTTGAAAACAAGCCGTTTTTACACAATATACATTAAATCTAGCAGAGGAAAATAAAGAAAGGAATGGGGAGGGGGGATTTAAATATATGGTAGTGGGAAATACTATAAAAATAGAGAATATTAGGGACTATTAGTTGTCAGTTCTTGGAAAATCTTAGGCTATCCAGAACAGAATATCAGAACCAAACATTACGGATATCCCCTCTCAGTCGAAAAATATTTGGTTATGTTCAGAACCAACAACTTTACTATAAGGAGTTTAGTTATCGGGAAATTTTTATTTTATTGATAGGGGTTGGGTTCGAAAATTGATGTGTTGACGTTATAGAATGTACTTCTGAGGGTCGATCTTTTAACTTGTAATGCCAATTATGTACTTGGATTCCTCATCATCAATCCCAGGGATTGGAATTTTCCTCTAAATAAATACGATCCAATATTTTTGAAAGTTAAGCGTAAACAAAAAGCGAAGGGGACTTCCCCCTCTAAAGCGAAGGGGAAGTCGAAAATGTCCATCCAAACCAGGATATAATGAAGAATCCAAGTTAAAAGATTGACCCTTCACATTACCCCCTAATGCGAAGGAGAATCCGAAAATGTCCATTCAACCCAGAATTAGAAGGACCGTTAAAACTTGATTAATAAACAAATAAAACACAAAATAAAACAAAAATGGATAAAAAACATTAATGAATTACCCGTTTTTATTGAGAAATAGAAACTTTTCTGTGCGTTTCCATGGGAAAAACGTTAAAACATAAAATTTGTAAAGGGTGATATTTTAAGGTATTAAAGAAAAAACAAGCATAAAAGGTGGAATTACGAGAAAGAGGAAAAAATTTTTTCTTTTATTGGCAAAAGGCTGAAAATAATCGGTCGTCCATGCGCATTACATCAACTATAAAAAATTTTGTTTTTAAAAATTATAGAAAGGTGAGAATCTTCGGTATAGAGAAATTATGAGAGAGAAAAAGACTTTAAATTTAAAATTCTTTTTAGAAAAATTTGGAAAAAGAAAAGTGAAAAATAAGAGGAAAAAGCTTAGTATTTTTTAGTAAAGAGCATTAAAAGGTATGACGAAAAAATTTATTCAAGATAAAATTTAAAATCTAAGTACGTAATTATTTTAAATGTTTAATTCGAGAAGATAATGTCAACAGCTCATATGTAAATTATTCCAAAATCAAAATCAGATTGAAAAAGGAAAAACCAACCATTTCTCGATAAATTAAGAAGAATAAAAGTTTAAAAAATTTTATAAAAATAACTCGATAGAGGAGAAAAATTACTGTAAAATGGTTTAAAATCAATATTTAAAATTAATATCCGACAAAGTTTATTTAAATCCGAGTTATTTTGGCATTCTGCATATTCGCAATAAAATTTTGTTTTACCCATTATTAATTTTTTAGCAGATTGCATAGGTTTTGGACATTATTTAATAATTTTAGCTAAACTTTATCACATTGGGGTCTCACTTTATTAGCATAGTCTTAAAAAATAAGCTAAAAGAAAAATCTTTTTGGCATTACCGGAAGGCATATAACACTAAAAGAATAAAGCAGGGTGAAAAGAAAAATGCCACCAAAAGTGACGGCATTTTAGTGGTTGTAGACTGCATAATCTGGTGTGGGAAAGAACAGCCAAATTATGGA